TAATGTCATGTTTGTTTGTGATGACCCCCCTTTTCGGGATTGCATCAGAATTATAGTTATCTCGTATCGCATGAGGATGACACATGTCAACTGAGCAATTATGTTTGGGACTTAGTTTTAAGAAATGATGTCAAAGTAACATTATGAAAATATTTTTAGTAAGCTGAAATATATATTTATTTTTTACATGTTTATGTCTTGTAAGATATTTTATTTCTGTCCCGTTTTTCAACATTTGCGTCTGGAAAGTTGAAATGTTTTAACTGAATGGTTAATTTAAATTAATTATGAAAATGGTTAAAATTAAATCAATAAAGGAAATTATTGCCCAGTTACAAACACTACCAGGGGATAATCCATAATGATTTTTTTTTCAGTTATATGTTTCAGCACATAATAATTAACCCCAACTTTAGCCTTGTAAACTTGTTGTCTCCTTGTAAAATATAAAACATATTTAAAATGATTTCCTGCTAAAGTCTTATATTGATATAAAGTTAAAACCGTCTTGCTTCTCACTAGTCAACACTCCTGTCCTGTCAGGTTTAATTCTTATATATATATGGATGAAAAATAAAAGTCCACAAAACATTAACATGGCAGCAATTGCTTTTACAGCCTTTAAGACTTTGATTTTTGTTTACAGAAGAGTGTCCACCATGCACTTGCATTACACTATAATAATAGTAGAATAGTATGATATACAAATAGATGAAAATTATATATACATGCAACCGTAATATTAATATAATATATAACAACAAACCAATGTATTCTCTGGAACTATTATTATATTAGTATAATAGTCTAAGGTATACTGATTTGTATCACTACAATATAATAGTTATTACGGTGAGGTTGAATTTCCTGTCATTTATTCATCATCCAAGCACGAACTTGTATAAGAAAAAAAAATCTCTGTAAATTAACCTCAGTTTCAGGTATAGAGATGTGATCTGTTTCTGTGACATGTGCTTTTGACCATCCACAAGAACCTGCGGTCATCCGATGTTCAGTACTTCAGTACTTTGATTTAGATAGGTATAAACCCTATACATCGTTTATACACCAATGAGACAGAGTTATTCGATGGGTATAAACCCTATATAACGTTCATACACCAATGAGACAGAGTTATTCGATGGGTATAAACCCTATATAACGTTCAAACAACAATGGGACAGAGTTGTTCGATGGGTATAAACCCTATTTATCGTTCATACATAAATGAGGCAAAGTTTTTCGATGGGTATAACCCTATATGAAGTTTATACACCAATGAGACAGAGTTATTCGATGGGTATAAATCCTATATAACGTTCATACACCAATGAGACAGAGTTATTCGATGGGTATAAACCCTAAACAATGTTCATACACCGATGAGACAGAGTTATTCGATAGGTATAAACCCTATATGACGCTAAAACGCTAATGAGACAAAGTTTTAAGATAGGTATAAACCCTATTCATCGTTTATACACCAATGAGACAGAGTTATTCGATGGGTATAAACCCTATATAACGTTCATACAAAAATGAGACAGAGTTATTCGATGGGTATAAACCATATTTATCGTTCATACATAAATGAGACAAAGTTTTTCGATGGGTATAAACCCTATATGAAGTTTATACACCAACGAGACAGAGTGGTAGTTGTTTCTATTGGCAATCATACCACATCTCCTTATTTTATACAAAAGTCTGGATAGGGTTTTGGGGTTTTTCATTCAATGTCATTTCTGTATTGTTCAAAATTTTAGGTCATTTTTTCTGTATTCTTCATATTTTTCCCCATTATTTTTCAATCACTCAATACAACACTCCATTATTCTATATTCTCTATTTCAATGTTCTTTTCTTTATTTTTTTATACGCCCGTTTACGGTAGGTATTATGGTATACAGTTGTCCTTCTGTCCATCCGTCAGTCATCAACATGTTGGACAATAACTCAAAAACGCTTTAAACAATTCGCATGAATCTTTGTTGAATTGTTTATATCTATTGAAGTGAACTCCCTTTTGTTTTAAACATGGTATCTTCTTAATCTTAAAAGAGGGACGAAAGATACCAGAGGGACAGTCAAACTCATAGATCGAAAACAAACTGACAACGTCATGGCCAAAAATAAAAAGACAAACAGACAAATAATAGTACAGATGACACAACATAGAAAACTAAAGACTAAGCAACACGAACCCCACCAAAAACTGGGGGTGATCTGAGGTGCTCCGGAAGGGTCACATTGAAGCAGATCCTGCTCCACATGTGGCACCCGTCGAGTTGCTTATGTTATTACAAATCCGGTAAATAGTCTAATTCGGTAAGTCACATTCGTGAAAAGGGAAGGGTATTGTAGTTACGACATAAGGAACATATCCGATATCATCTGTGAAACGGTTATTCCATAACGGTCAACCAACTCGTGATGGCGTCCGTAAAATTTACGAAGGGATGACTTCAACTTCACCACTTGGAACTCTTGGTTTAATAGCTTCCTTGTGAGCAGCAATCCTCTATCAAGGAAATCATGATAGGAAACACAAGCCCGGGAATATCGTATCAATTGGGAGATATATACTCCGTATGCAGGCGCTGCTGGAATGTTGCTACATAGAAATGGAAAGTTCACAATTGGGAAGCTGAAATCATCTCTTTTGTCGTAAAGTTTTGTTTTCAACCGACCCTCATTGTCAATTTCTAGATGTAAGTCAAGATATGAGGCAGATTTAACTGTATCTGTAGTATCCTTTATCTCTAGTTCGATGGGATAGATTCGTTCAACATAGTCACCAAATTTTGTATTATTTAGTGAGAGAACATCATCTATATAGCGGAACGTAGAGTTAAAGGATATCTTATCTCTCTTCCTAAGAAGCTCCTGTATGAAGTCAGCCTCATAATAATAAAGAAACAAGTCGGCAAGAAGAGGGGCACAATTGGTTCCCATTGGAATTCCGACAGTCTGTTGAAAAACACGTCCTCCAAACGTAACAAATATGTTGTCAATCAAGAAATCAAGCATCTTGATAATGTCAGTTTCAGAGAATTTTTTGTTTGAATCAGAGTGATTCTTTACAAAGTAGGATTTATCCCTCCCCAAGACAAGATACTTGTATCTACGTTCGCCATTCTTTTTAATGAAACAAAGTAATACCAACTCTTTCAATTTGTCTTTTAGTTTGGAATGGGGAATACTTGTGTAAAGTGTAGAAAAGTCAAATGTTTTAATACTATTGCAAGATGAGAGAGTCTTAGATTGTATGTACTCTAAAAGATCTTTGGAATTTTTTAGTATCCACCTCTAGAATAGGCAGTTTCACAATAACTTTGGAGCCATCTGCTAGATTGGATTCAACAACTTTTGAGTATTCCAAAATCAGAAACTATATGTCTTTCTATGTTGTGATGTTACACTATTGTTTCAGATATGTAAAGTCCATGAACTGCAATAGAAAAATAGAAAAAAAATCATACTGCATTTTCCATCTTTTGATTTTCATTAGGAAAGACAACTTGCATAAACCTTAAGCTTTCAGTAAAATATCATGAGATCCTCCATTTGGGGTACATTTCTGTTGAATGCTATGTAAAACTTCCTGCCAGTGGACAGTTTTCAGCATTTGAGTAAATTGTATAGAATAAACACTCGAGACTTAATTATTTCATTTACTACCAATGGGAAGAAACCATTGTAGGTAGGCAGTGCATAAGAAGAGGATTTAACAAAATTTAGTGATTAAAAAAAAATTGAAAAAATAGCTAATTATACAGATTTTTGTAAATATAATTATAAACAGACCGTTTACAGTTATGAATCTATGATCGTCTCAGACATTGAGTTCCTTGAATCACAAACATTGATAAATATCATCAATTTCAGTGACAAGCGACTAGACTGCATTCTATCGTTTTATTTTTCATCTGCTAGATTGGATTCAACAACTTTTGAGTATTCCAAAATCAGAAACTATATGTCTTTCTATGTTGTGATGTTACACTATTGTTTCAGATATGTAAAGTCCATGAACTGCAATAGAAAAATAGAAAAAAAATCATACTGCATTTTCCATCTTTTGATTTTCATTAGGAAAGACAACTTGCATAAACCTTAAGCTTTCAGTAAAATATCATGAGATCCTCCATTTGGGGTACATTTCTGTTGAATGCTATGTAACAGACTGTTAACATAGGAAAAATCTAAAACCCTTTTAAAAGATATTAAGACCCATTTTTAAGTTTGACTGTCCCTCTGGTATCTTTCGCCCCTCTTTTCTAAATCATGCAACAGTACAGCTTTGGTTATTGCATCTCCAAAATGCAGCTACAATGTACTGATCAGCTTCATGAATTTGGGTTTTCATCAAAATTAAACAATTATGAAGTAAAAATGTACATGTATATGAAGTACATGTATTTTGCACAGCCACCAATTTAAATTAAGAAACAATAGCATTACATATAAGTCATTAATGACTGACAAATTGAAAAAATCTACGTGCTATAAGTTTCATGTTTTCTATAATTTTCTTGTGTGTCGGATATTTTATTGAAGAAAAATTATTTCCAGATAAAACTTTGCTTTTATATGTCTCCATTCCAGCTATATTGATGTTCAGGTAATTTTACTGGTACCTATAGTTAAATGTATAGTTAATTAGCTTATGTCATAAATATATAAATTATTGTTTTAGTTCTGATTAACCATGTCAGAGTTAATTCTCTAAAGGAGGATGTCATTTGTAAAGTTGTCCCATGTTTCTTGTTTATTTTAAAACATTAAGATATTAGTCAACCAATTTCCTATGACAGTTTGGAGGTGCTAGATGGTAATGGAAAACAAAACAGTACAGTAATAAATAAATAGTATATACATGTATGCATAAAAATTCTAAAACAACACAAATATTAAATCAAAGTACTGAAGTACTGAACATCCTATTACCACAAGTTCTTTTGGATAGTGACAAGCACAAAAAAAAATAACATCTCCTATCTATACCTGAAAGTTAGGTAAAGGTAATTTCATAAAAAAAAATCTGAGACAAGTTCGTGCGTGGATGAATGAATGATAGGGAATTTAACCTTACCGTAATAACTATTAGTAGTGATACACATCAGTATACTCATTAGTATGCTATTAGTTGTAGCATCTTACAGAATACATAATCATTATCACAGTGATAATAGGAAATGTCAAAGTCTATCTTTCTAGTTCTTTTTTCTTTTCAGGTTGTCTATCTATATACATGTAATACCTGATTAACTCAAAATGATACCTGATGGTTATTGTTACATATATATATTTGATTTTAATACTTGTTTTTAAGTTTCTGTTCAAACTATGCATTACAAACTGATGTTTTACTATACAATAAGTTATGGATATTACCCACAAGACATTGTTTTCAAAACAGTTTTTCTCTAAAGTGAAAGATGATTTTAAATCAGTTATTTCTAAAGTTAATACAGTTTGATCTGGAATTAATTTCAAGAAAAAAGTTCTCTTCCTTTAATTCATGTAACAAAAATAACTATATAATATTATATTAACTTTTCTATAAGATTTGAAGTATAGCTGTATTGATACACAAAGTTTTGTTCAGAAAGTGAATGAGTAGTGTAAGGTGGTTGATTTTCAGAAATTATTTCATAAAGTTGTTTTGTTCAGCTGACCTTACCCGTTTTATATTCACCACCAGAGATCCCTATTTTTTTGGTTTTATCATGGAGGTCACATTAAACAGTCAGGGGTACTGCTTGTACAGGTTATTTTTGTTTACTTGAAGAAGTAAATATTAATATACTTATATAAGTAGATTTTTAAGATTCTTAGACAAATGTATTTTATTTACTTGTATAGGTAAATTATTAGCTTAGTTGCCTTGCAGAATTGATTAGATCTTTGCACAATTAGTTTCTTTGTTAAATTAATGAGATGTAACATTGAACTCTATTAAAAAATTATAAGCTAACCAGAGAAAAATTGTTTAAGTCATGTTTTTACATCCCAAAACTTGAGAATTTTATGGATGTAAAAAAATACTTGTACATGTAAATTTTTTGAGACAATTAAGGGGAGATTATTCAAACCACAAAGAAAATATGAAAATAACAATTTACTTATAAAGGTATATTATTAATTACCTATACAGGTAAATAAAATTAATTTGTGCAAGTAGTATCACTGACTGTAAAAAGATGATTCAATAGTGAATAATTGAATATATATAATTAGCATATATATTAGAAGAAAGAATATTTATAATTCCTAACTTTAATTTATTATGAATGAGATTTGAATTCTGTGTTTATTGTTTTTATATAAAATGCAATAAAATTTCAGAAATAAAGCAGTTGATAAGTGAAATGTTTTATGTAGGATATCCTTACAGACTGATACACTACATCCTGGAAAAAGAAAAGAACTTTCAGATTAGGTATATTGCTGTAAAATATTAATTTGTCCTAATTATTATACCCCGCTTTAAAACAGTGGGGATATACTGTTTTACCTCTGTCTTTCCATCAGTCTGTCCATCTGTCCCATGAATATATTTTGTCGCATTTTTCTCAGACACTGCAATACAAGGATTTCTGACATTTGGTTTCAGGTTTTATATAAGTCAGCTATATTGTGTGTTGCATTTTCAGATTCAACACTAAACAGCTTCCTTCCCAAACACTTACATATTTTTACACTATTAATAGTATCCAGATGCAGCAGGGGTATCACCAGTGAGCAATAGCTCACAGTTTCACTTGTTGGATCATGGTTGACAAGAAAGGGAACACACACTTTAATACATACAGATTACAAATAAGATTACAATGTTTTTTTAGTTCTAAATTTAGTAATTGTTTGTATGGCATATGTGAGAATGAGGATATACATATCACAATTTTTATACGTGTGCATGCAAAACAAATTTCTTGATAGAGGGGCTAAATACAGCACAAACAACATTTTCAAAAAGACCAAAAAAGTGAAAAAGTATATATATTATTACCTCAATCATATTAGAAAATTACCATGATGCCTGCAAAACATGTGGCAATTTTGTTACCATAAATTTTTCTCTTAAACACTCATATGCATTTATAAATGTAATCTAAGATATTGGTATAAGTAAAGTATAAATGTAAAATGACAAGGATTTACAAATGTACACACATCGCTTAAATTATACACACAACTGCGTGTTTACACTTCAAGAAAAGTAAGTATAAATGTTGAAAATGCTATACAGAGGGGGATTAGGATTAGGCCTGTCTGTCAGTATGACAGTCATTTTCATTTTTGCTTTCTAAATCACTTACTTTTTATTGCACCATTACTTTGATTTATATATAACATTTAATGAGATGAATGTCTCTTTACTGAAATTTAGGTAAATAATGAAGTTCACCACTTTAAAAGGTCTACTGGGGACAAAAAACTTAAAAAAAACAATACTTATTTTAATTTTACAGAAGTGAATGAAAAAGTGTTAATTTCCATCCCTGCAATAGCAATAAATTTTTTTACAAAAAGATCAACAAGATAAATCATAGAAGCTTCAAAAACTCACTTCTAAGGGGTTCACCAGTGTTCTTCCCAAAACTTTCACATAGCACCATGGAATATAGAAACTAATATAGCACTATTTAAAAAAAAATATATCACCATGGCCCCTATACATTCTTTTATAAAATAATCATAGACAGCACCAAGGGTACCATGATGCTTCAAAGCTCTAGGTAGAACAGAAAAAATTAATTCAGCTCACTGAGAGCTTTTTCCTCTGTTTATCAGGGAGAGGTACTCTTTTAAAATGAGTTTGTTTAAAGTCACTATAAATTTATGAAATAACTCAAGTTATTCAGAATTTCACTTATGTAATTTAAAACATCCTGTCTACATACCAACAGAAGTTAACAAGCAGGTTCTGTTTTTTTCATCCCTTATATGATTATATATTTTATTCTGACTTAAATTTTTTCCAGTTTCCAATATTTACAGCACAAAGTCATCCCAAGGTTAGGTTTAAAGAGAAGAAACTGCAGAATTAACATTGATACAGCAATTACATTGGCAGTGGTATGTGACAAGTTCAAGATAGCATAAAATGGTGTATTTGGTTTTTTTCTAAGAAATTTAAAAAAAAATGAATTTCTAAAATAATTTATTTTAACTGTGATTAAGGGAAATGCCTTGATACTGATTTCAGATTCAACCATTCAAATAGTAACTCAACAGTCCAATCAGTGCCTTTCAAATTTTAAGATGTAATTGATGACAATGTAAAGTTCAATATTGATATTTTTCACTTCTGCTGTACAGGAGATAGTATTTTATGATTATATATTTGTTTGTTATCACAAATACTATATCCATGTGATGAGTTAAGTCTTTTTCAACTGATGTCTATAGATCGTTCTTATTTTGTACTGTTACACCACTGTCCCAGAGTTGACTCATTGGCAATCATACAACATCTTCTTTTTTAATATTTATATGGGATATCAAATAAATCCCTTACCACACATACAGTAATAGATTTATTTTCATTTAAGAATTGAATGCTTCTTTTTGCAAATTCATCGTGGCGTAAAAGCTTTAACCGAAGTACATTTTGTATGAAGCGCTTGTGCGCTTCATTCTAAAAATCTGCACACGGTCAAATTCTTTTACAACCCTATAAAATTACAAAAAGAAGCATTCAATACTTCTTATTCCATTTTGTAGCTAGGATCATGAAAACACGATTTCTATCAAGTTTTTCTTTAATTTACCTGTGCACTTTTTTGTGGGACCTCGTGTCATGAATGTTACATTTCATTGTGTAATGAATGTCAATTTCAGAAGGACACGAGATTGCTGTTAGCCAATCAAAATAAGGTATCATAATGAAACATACATGGAATGTAATTCTTTAACCATGGCTATCGCTCGGCATAAAATAATTGTATATAAAAACCCAACCGGTGTTTAAATGAGAACAAATCTATGGCTGCCATGAATTATTTCTAAAATAAACCATGCCTGAGAGGGACATTTCCAAATAATCTCCACAGATATAAAATGGACCACTGAACTGCAAACAAAAATCATTAACGTACAATGTACATCTAGTGGTTACTCTTAAACTGAACTCATCACATCCTACTACGTTTTGTACATTGTTGATGACACTCCTGCCACATGCTGACCTAGGTCTTTTCTTTTTTTAATTCTTTGAAGTTACAGGAAAAAAACTTAACCCTTATAGAGGTGTTGATTTTTTTGTAATTTCACTATTTAGATATAATCATATGATCATGGCAATATTACCTTTCTTAAAATTGTTTATTTTGTTTTGTTATTTTAGAAAGAAATCAGGAATGGTTGTAATGGATGTGAAAATTTACGTAGTTCTTTGAAAATAAAATACCAGTTGCAAATAACAAGGTAATTCAGTCTTGTAACTAAATGTTGATCTATAAACAGTTGGCATCAACTACAAACATGTTTAGGAGTTTTAATAATAATTTTCAAACCTTGATCCAAAAACTTTTTAATGGGTCATTGTGGCTCCTTGATATCAAAAGGTTCTGCACATGCATCCTAAACCATTTTGGCACATTATTTATATAGATACTTTTTCTCTAGGTCTCTTTCCAGAGAACTTGTTAGAATCTTAGATGCAGATGGTATTAAAAGGCGTAAAGGTAGAAGATTAAGAAGAAGACAATACATATCCAAGGTATGTTATTTAAAGAAGAAAAGGACTTAATTCAGTTCTTATTTGTAGTTGATCTACATACATGTTTGTAGTAACATTATTTAATCTCATCTTACCTCCTATACATTTCTAGGAATATGAATGGTTAAAATATTTCATATTAGGTTAGTAGGCGGGCTTATTTTGATACAAGGTTAGTAGTGATGTTATGTCCCTTTATAAAAACAACACAGTGTTGAGTGAAAATCTGAATGGTTTCAACAATAGAAAAAATGGATAATGAACGATTGAAATAAATTCATAAAACACATTTAAAGCTAACAAGTTTTTTTGGTAACTTTGTGTTGTCAAAATTATGCTTTCACCCATATGGAATTTTCTGACCCCATATATGATGTATTTGGTCACTAGCACACTAATAGTATTTACAAGTTTGATGCATTTTTAATAGAAAAATTAAAAAGGTCATATTGAATGTTTTTTTTTCATCATCCATAATTTCTAAGTAAGTATTATTTTTTGTATTGATACATATATATTCTGCAAGAGGGTAGCTAAGTAACCTACATCATTGTAACATGTACATTCTTTCAAACTTTTCAAATTCTTCATGATAGTAAAAAAAAAATGATTTACTGTCATTTGATAGTTGTAAATTCTTAAATTATACAGTGTAATTGAAATCTTCAGGTTACTAAGAAAAGTCAGTACCTTGATCAATTCCTACAGTTTCAATTATGTCATCAAAATCATTACAGTTTTCAACTATTGCATTCAACCCTACATCATTCCTCAATGTTTTTACACATACAGTTATGAAGTTTCATGCACTCAAGGCTACAATACTTTTGATACCGGTTCATAAGTATGTATAATGTCCTCTTTGAAAATTAAATTCTGACCTTTAAGTCCACATGAAATGAACAAAAATATACGGAAATATTCCAGTTGCAAATTACATCAACTTACTTGTGTTCATATTTCTTTTCAGGGTCCTAACTATATTTGGCACTTAGGTAAGCAGCATAATTTTATATTTCATTATTTAATTCTCATGATACATACAGAGTGTGGCCATAAGTATTCATCAACTTGAGATTTTTCACTAAATATTGTATATAGAACTACATTGTTTCCAAAATAATATTTTGGGGTCATTTTTTGTTTAATTTTAAGCAACTTTGTACCATTTATTTTTTGTGCATTTATTATTGTGATTTTTTTTCGTTTTAGACTTCTATGCAATTTTAATTTTAACGATTTTCAGAAAAATCCTGTTTAATTCATTTAAAAAAAGTTCAAAATGCGAGTTCAAATAATTGCGTTTAAAACTCTGTCACATTTTTCACACTAATAAAAACAATGCAATTTCTGGAATTCTCTGAAAGTGTCATGAAATACAGAAATAATAAGAATAAAAGAATGCGGTTCCTATTAATGAATCTGTTACCATTGTTGCAAAAAGCCTTGATGAATAAAATTGATTCAAATAAGAATATATACTAGAAAGCAGATGAATATTTCAAAATAACTTTTTTTTTGTCTGATGGGTTTGATGTGAAGCAAACATTCACAGCTAATTACATGCACCTTTGATATACATCTACTATTTCACTTCTTTATATAACTTACAGTATGAAATTACTTTGTAGATGGTTATGACAAACTAAAGCCCTTTGGCATATGTATACATGGATGTGTAGATGGGTAAGAAGAACAATTTATTCCACATATACATTTAATTTTTTGTAATAGACGCAAAATGATAGTAATGATAAACATGACACAGTTTTTGTTTATTTACTTTTTACTCAAGTACACATAATGAAAATGATTTCTGGCAGAATTATAAACAATAACAGATATAACTCCCATTAATATAACAATACAAAAAAAAAAAACTATCATAAAAGTTTTGTGATCTTGACATATTTTTACGTAATTAACAGTATATATTCTTGTGCCTAAATTTTGTTAAAACAATATTCTTATGAAATCTGTGCAAGAATAACAATGACCGACAGAGCATAATCTTGTCAAATGTGTACACTTAGGACTCTTTTTTTAGTTATCAACATTCAGATTTTGCATATGATGAACTATACAAGAATAAATGCTTTGTATTAATTCTATTTTCCATTCAGTTTTTCAAGAAAAATTATATGGATGTGTGCCAGTATTACCAATAAAAGACCAGAAGTTGTAGCTGATTTCTTCCTGAAAGAAGCTGATAACATTAAAGGTTGGCAATAACTTCAATTTATACCTTTTTTTTTAATCTGGTCCTCAAATAGTGAACCTTTTAAAAAGGTCATTTCAGTATGAACTTATGTTTACCAATGAATACAAGATTATTAACATCACAGTTTGTATTAGCTATTCTTTTTGAATTATCAGACCAAAAAAGTCAGAGTCAATATCTAGAAAGAATCCTGTAAATATCCTTTGAATATTCTTGCATTAGGCCAATAAGAAAAAATTAAATTGTGCAGTGAAACCCTTATTGACAGTGAATTTTTGGCAAGTTTAAACATAATATATAAAATATTTTTTGAAAGAGCTCTAATATTTTTAGTACACACAAAATGATATTAGTGTCCCTATGTACAGCAAATTCAATTAATAATGTTATACATGTAATTATACAACCACAAAAAATTTGCGTTTGTATAATGCTATGATGTCGTCTTCCTCGTCCGAAGACACATTTGGTTTCCAGACAATAACTTTAGTTTAAGTGAATGGATCTCTGAATTTTGCTAGAAGGTCCAATACCACAAAAGGAAGGTTTGGGATTGATTTTAGGGGTAATGGTACCAACAGTTTTTTTATAGCTGACTATGCAGTATGGGCCTTTGCTCATTGTTGAAGGCCGTGCGATGACCTATAGTTGTTAATTTCTGTGTCATTTGGTCTCTTGTGGAGAGTTGTCTCATTGGCAATCATACCACATCTTCTTTTTTATATTTGTGTAGTTTCAGGACTATTACTTGTGTGTAAGTGTATGGTTCTCTGAACTTGTATTACAAGGTTTTCTTATACAAAGGGAATTGTGGGCTAGAGTTTTGGAGTAATTGCCCCAAATGTTGATGAATTAGTGTCAAAAAAAGGTCCCAAAAAACCAAGCATTTCATTAGTTTACAGACAATAACTTGTGTTTAAGGTATAAGACCACTTATTTCTAGACTATTGCTCTCAGTTAAATTCTGCAATTTTAAGCATTTATGGCTACTTTGTAAGTTCAAATAAAGTGGCAGTCATTTCATGTCATAACTATACCTTACCCTGACTTGTGGTGAAAAATTCAACATACCTTTAATTGCATATAAGAGCGTACTGGTTCAAGGAATTGAACTGAACAACACAGCAAATGTGCCATTCCATTATAATTTGTGAGAACTGAAATTTATACAAATAATTCCTTGCATAATTATTTTAAATTAAAACTGTCGTGAAGTTGAAAGGATACAATGTATTTTACAGTTTTTCCAACCAAGATCAGATGTGACCCTGGTATCGAAAATGGGTTAGCAGCAGCTATTCAAGTCACTCACACTTCCAATGAGAAGTCTGTGATTTATGGCTCCTCAGTTTTTAATCAGGTATTTAAGGTGTAATTTGTATATATACCTGTTTACATAATTTGTCTTTGACTGACTGATTCTAAGCAAATCTAGATTGATTTCTTAAACTCACAAAAGCTATCTGACTATTTTTTCTCAATTTTTTTAATTGAAGAAATTTATAATTCTGCTATATTTCATTAGGATATCTGTTAATAATAAAGTATATGCTATTGGTCAGTTATTTTGATTTTTTGGTAATTTTGTATGTATTGAACCCAGGTAGTACTTAACAACATTGTTACAGGATTTTCTGTTAGAATGCTATAATTCATCAGATTTTCAGTGATTAATATTTTAACTTTTTTCAGAGAATTGAAAGGCAATGGGGTTGGTTAAGGCAAAGCAAGTCAGACTTTTGGATCAATCATTTCAAAGTATGTGCATTTTTTATTTTATTGTTTGTAATTTTGATATAAGGTGATTTGTTCTTTTTATGATTCATTGAAAAAGCATCTAAGACATGTTTCAAAGCAACTTCACTGTTGAATAAAAACACATTCAGGACTGTTCCACTAAAACATGCAATTGGTATTCAGGGAAGTCTCATTGAAAATAAGGTAACCAATTTGTAGAGGAAACTGTAGATTTCTTTTTGAATTGCTCTGATCAATAATATGTTTTCAAGAGCCAATTGGATTATTCATGAAAATTTTGTCAAAACCTTGCAAAATGGTATATATCTGTCTTACATCTTTTTAAAATTTTTGTGATTCGACATTGGTGAAATTGAAACCCATTGATATCTTTGACAAATCAAAAAAGGACCCATTCAAGTTCCATTTCTGTGTATACCTTCATAATGGTAGCATCTTCGCTGTTAAGAAGTTAAAAGAAAAGTTAAGATGCATAAGGGTGTAGAGTTTTAGGGCAAAAAAAAAAAAAGTCAAGTTAGTCATAAAGGGATATGATAGCAATACCAAACTTATACATGGGTTATATAACTGATAGAAGCAGTGTTTCTTTCATATGAATATGAATACTTTATTTCTCATAAAGTACAATTATATAGAGAACATACATAAATAAAACTTTCAACATTGTTCCTTTTAAAAAAAAATTTGTCTGACATGAATAAAAACTTAAAAATTATAATGTTCAAATTAGGATCTTCTTAAATGTTCTCTATAACTAGACAAAAAAAAATCAAATTTCAATAGGAACATTGATAAAACTTTTGATTGAAATCCACTTTTTATGATTGAAACAATGTTTATATTAAACTGAATGAAAATATATTATTAATATTGAATAAATACATCATCACACGCAGTTAACGAGTATAAAAAAAGTATTTTTGTCTATATATAAGAAATTTTTTTTACTCAGGTAAATTAATCAATGTGTGATAGATTTCTCTTAGAAGATATTTAAAGATCCCAGTGAATAAACTACACAGAGAAAAATAGCTATTGTATTCATTCAATAGGACAGGTGAACTTACAAAAGTTTAAATACCTGGTCAAGATAGAGATGGCACTGTTGAAAACTTTCATTGGGTTCGCAATAATAACTTTGATAAATTTACATAGTTTTTCTAATATTACAATATTTGATGATGAGTTGAACAGTTGATCAAATTGATAGATATTAGGGGCTGAATTTTAGCTCACCAGGGCCCAAAGGGCCCCATGTGAGCTTATGCCATCACTTGGCGTCCGTTGTCTGTCGTTGTCTGTCGTCGTAAACTATTTCAAAAATCTTCTCCTCTGAAACTACTGGGCCAAATACCTTCAAACTTTAACTAAATGTTCCTTAGGGTATCTAGTTTATAAATTGTATCCGAAGTTTTGATCCATCAACAAACATGGCCACCATGGCTAAAAATAGAACATAGGGGTCAAATGCAGTTTTGGCTTATATCTCAAAAACTAAAGCTTTTAGAGCAAATCTGACAGGGGGTAAATTTGTTCAATTGGTCAAGATCTATCAGCTCTGAAATTTTCATACAAATCCAACAACCCATTGTTGGGTTGCTGCCACAGAATTGGTAGTTTTAACAAAATTTTGCAGTTTTTTGTTTTTATTTTAAATATTATTATAGATATATATAAACTGTAAGCAGCAATAATGTTCAGCAAAGTAAGATCTACAAAAAAGTTAATATGACCAAAATTGTCAATTGACCCCTTAAGGAGTTATTGCCCTTTAAAGACAATTTTACACAATTTGTTCATCAAGTTTGCTAACATTTAAAAATCTTCTCCTCTGAAATACAGGTGAGCGATTCAGGCTCTTGAGAGCCTGTTTTTGTATTTAGGTTGAAATTTCTTTCTTTCCGACTTAAATGTTCCACAATTCATATTGTAATGGTCCTCGTCACCAATGTCCTCTCAGTAGACCCTGCCACTGTCCAGACTCAGTTGGCAAGTGGTGACTACCACATATATATTTGCATAATGTAAACATGAATTTGTAAGGAAAAACAAAATTTTTTTCTTAAATTATTTTTAAAAATACCATAACATGAAGTTTTAGTAATTCTTGTTGAAACTGGTCTTTGAGATTTTGCTTAGTACATTTTGACACCCATTTATGAGCAAACTGTGCATTTTATATATTGGATTCCGACATACCACAGTATTTTTAATTTGATAAAAAGGATCCACTTCTAGAATCTAGAAAGTAAAATTCCTAAAAATTTGTTTTCTTTTACAATTTACTGTGAACTTTAGATTTGCTGGCATTCTGCCGCTCGAAAAGATCAAAACTTTGCAATGCTTTGTATTTATTGTCATGTTCCATTCTTCACAATATTTGTAAATGGTGTCTAACATGTATTGTAGATCAGTGCTGTTTTCTGCTAATAAAACAATATCATCTGCATGTAAAAGTACAAATCATTTCTAAAATGCTGTCAGCTCATTTTCGATATCTTGTGATATAGATTTTAAGCCAGTTATATATTTTTCATTACAGTGCCTTCAAGCAGATGGCTTATTGAATGTTAACAGTCAAATCCACAAGTGAGTTGCATCCTAAATGAAACTATATAGTGGGAAAATTGTAGCAAAGTTGCTTCAACAGTGGGACACATCATTGTAGTATTCCAATTGACTGTTATTATTTGTGGGATATCAATTGTCGCTGACTTTTATGAGTATAGGTGAACCACAAATATTAATGTCCCATGAGGTACAAATTATCTGTAGGCTTGTAAGACACTGTGTCAAAACAATAAAATAAAAAACCATGCAAGATAGAGACAAACTTTAAATAACAAAAATGATTAACAAGACAAGTTCTACAAATAGGACAACACGATCAAAATCGTCCGTTGACTCATTACATTTTTTGCCTTATATTAAAAAAATTAGAATAGATAATAGGAAACTAAAATCATCAAGAAAAGATCTACTATTAAGACAATTTGGAGGAAAACATCTGAAAACTCCTTATTCTAGTCATTGGTGGTTGTTGACAATTTTATTCAATTGTTTGTGTTTTCTTCAAATTTATTATAGTTATATAACGAATTGACTGAGTGAAAGTCCTTGATTTAAATATTACATATGTTTGACCCCAATTTCATAGTCCACTGAACATTGAAAATGATAGTGCAGAGGGGCACATTCTTGTTTAAAATGTATTTTGCAAGAATTTTAACATGTTATTGAAAATATCAATATTCTTTGAACTATTTCAAAGCTTGTTGTGTTATAAGCTTCCTTGTATTCTCAGCAACTGCATTTAACATACAATTATTGATATCTCCTTCTGATATACTTGCAAATTTTCTTTTCTATTTGTCTACTAGTGCTCAATCCTTCATGTATGTTCGGTGTCATGTAATGACGTCATGAATCTAAATTTAGCAAGATTTTTTTATATTTACAGTCAATAAACATATAAATAGAAAGATAACATCAATATACATAAAAATAGAACCAGGGCTTTGGATACATAAAATAACCTTTGAAACATGTGATCCTAATATCCAATGCAAACAAAAGAATGCTACACCATATGTAATATTGTTTAATATTCATGCACATAAAATGTGAAACAGAACTATTTCTTGTAAAAAAAACATTGAAATTTACACTCAAATTATGCCAAAAATAGAGTTTTGATGAAAGTTGACAAAATCATCTGTATGTGAAGAAAAGTTGCGTGTAGTAGATTAAATCGATTGAAATTCGTCAAACTAAATATTAAAGTCAAGATATGTTCTTCATGTCATTAAAAGAATGCTATTACATGTACATAATTTTTCAACAAAAAGACCCACATCTTTTTACAACAATATGATTTTATGTATGATTCATTGTGATATTCATATTGCTCTAAATAGGGATCATATTAGGATCTTATTAAAATATACTCCATTAACATTTCAGAATATGCCTGCAGTTTGTATATTTGCCGATAATTCAACAAGATTTAGCAGACCTTATAGTTCTTTGGAACAGCCATAATATAAGAAAACAAAATCAGGGAGATATATTGTCAGGCATACCTGATGTTCTATATCATTATCCTGAAGTTTATGGTAAGAATACAATGCATATTTTTGAATTTTTTCCCCTCTCATAATATTAACCACCTGGTTATACATGTACAAGTAATTGTATTAGTTTTTTTTTCATACCTATGATTTAATGAATTGGCTTCCAGATTCTTGATTTATTAATCAATTACTTTTCTACCACAACTCGAGTTGGGCCTACATTGCATTCACCTTGTTTGCCCAACAAATATATGTGTCACACTTTTCTCAAAAAACTCTTAAAGAATGCTTTCAGATTTATTCAACAGCTTGCACTTGTAATAGCAATTAGTTTTAAAGTGTGAGGATTTTTTTATCTGTCAGAAACTCCCTACTTATTTTAGTCAATATGTTGAATGAATTTAAAAAAACACACACAAACTTTCCTGATACTTAACAGAATGACTTTAATTTCGACCAAGAGCTCCACAGTTAGATTTTTAAAGTGCAACAGCTTATTGATCTACCAGACATCTAACTACTGTTTTCAAATCTTTTGATAGTGTGTGAAAGTGTTATTATCATGACACATGTGCATGCTTGTTTTCTCAAAAGTTTTAAGAAGATTTACTTGAATTAACTGATTATTAAAATAATTGATACCTGGTAAACATTAAGTGAAAAACATTAATATATTCATGACATATATATTATTTGCATGCTAGGTGACTGAGTTACTTTCCACAACTGTTATTCAAACTTTTCATTGTATGCTACATTGTGTTTGGCAGAGCAACAACACATATAAAATTAAAGATATAAGTTTATCAATTCATGAAAATTGTTTCATAAATTACAAAATGATAAACTCAAATTGAGAATAGATTGACTACATGAAAACAAAATTACACCACAACATCATAGCACTCTTGGAACAATACAGAATACTGTCTAAAGATGAAAATTTATGATGATAAGGATATGAACTTCTTTATGTTTTCATTTTCTGTAATATTTATACCAGTTTAAAAATCTGTTTTAGGTACTTCAGATTTCTGTGTATTCCTGCAGATGAGCTGACCTTAAATTTTTTCAATGAGCAGTGTCACCAAGAAGCAAGTCTATTTCATAAAATTGATGAAGACTTTGAGGCAGTTCTAACTGAACTTAGGGACAATATAAACATCCAAGCTGCAGTTGATTCTGTACAAAATGCACGGCATTTATTTATATATCTTAAGGACAGAATGGAGAACTTGCTATCCTAGAGGTACTATTATGGCAAATTTGGTGATATACACAATAGAATTAGTCATACACAATAACTTATGTTGATTTTGTATACAAGTAGCAATTTGCAGATTTCCCTTGAAATAAGAGTATTTGCTATACTCATCAAAATCATAATTACACATCTAACAACAAACTTTTAGGTTTCATATGTATGTCAGAATGGAAATAATGATATTTTCAATCAATTTAATGAAGGTTAAATAGTTCCTGTTGATTCATTATAATCCATCGGATACCACCAATTTCCACTGATTCCATGGTTATAGGTAAATCACAAATTTAAAGGGGCACTAGCTACGAGATATAAAAAAAATCTAAAATAGGATTTTTTTTGTTCAATCATTAATGAAAGTGAAATAGTGAAATAATTATTCGCTTTAAGCAGCCAGTATGGTTTAATTTTGTCAAAATAAGCTAAGAAACATTGATGCAAGTGAATCATTCGACCTCATTGAATCCGTATTCATGTGAACTTCAATTTAACCACTTAGCTAGAGATGGATAACGCATGAATTGTTCGTGTATAGTTATTTAAAGGAAAAGAATGTCAACATTGAAAGTGAAACAAAAGTAAATCATTTGATTGACTGATTCGATCCACAAAAATCATTCTTATACAGGTAAAAACGATGATAAACATATATTTTTAATCAAAATACGAAATTAAAAAGACATAGAAAAATCCCATTGCACAAGTTCGCTTAATCTATTTATATCTATATTTATGTTTACATCGCTTATATGGTCATCGGACGACTTTGGAGGTCAACTCGATAGTTAATTAGATGGCGTCTAGACTACAATACACACGAAACTAAGCTACATATTATCGAGCCCATGTCCTGTAAATTGTTTATTTTAGACTTTTAATAGTTTGGATAATTGTTTTACATTGTTATAAATCAAATATGAGAATTTGAGTCAAATCGGTGAACATGAATTTGACAGCTAGTGCCCCTTTAAACGTTCAACTATTGGCAAAAACCATCAAATACAAAAAAAAAAGAAAGGACAATTTCAATCAGTTTAAAATTGGTAATAATGAAAATAAATGAATGCACATTAACAGAAGTTAGATGTATTAAAAATATGTCACTAATTTTTATCATTATTTTTTCAGATTTTAAAGACTTATTTGTGTCAGTCAAATCATAAAGTCATCATTATCCACTCTAACTAGAAGAGACAATATTTGTTACTGGTATCTTAATGATGTGTCAGGTGACAAAATCTTTGAAGACTAAACTTTTCAGAATCAACATAAACTTGTATGAGAATTTGTGATAACTACAAACATTGAAACTGATTTTTGTGTGTGTTTAGATGTTGAGATGCTATGAATGTAAATGTATAAGCATGAATTAAATCACAATTATTAATGATATATATTGTTTTACCATGTTGATACTGTGATGATAGCTGTTAATTGTGTGAAATGTTCCTTCATCCAAGCATATCTTGGATGTGCAGGATGAAGGTCATTCTTAGAATATGAGCCTGAGGCTCGAAAGTAATGAATTAGCTTAACTTCTCTATGAGGGGTGAAGCTTACATGTAATATCTCTGTTTAAAGAAACAAACTATAACCACCAGACCATAGATGGCCAGTGACCTTGACCCTAGTATATAAGCACCTGTTCCATAATAACTTGTCATAATTTAAAGCAAGTTTGTGTCGACCATAAAACCCATTGGAAAAGGGTGGGTCTGACTGATAATCCCTAGGGTGGGAATTAATTACTTTCGAGCCTCAGGCTCATATTCTAAGAATGACCTTCATCCTGCACATCCAAGATATGCTTGGATGAAGGAACATTCTTATTCATATTTCGCCTTCGGTCTCAAGTAATGAATTAGCTTGTTTAAAGTGTAGACACAAACTAAAAACAATTTTTACATAAATGCCACATTTAATAAAGCATAAAAATCACAAAATCATCCAGTAATTACAACTGAAGAAAAGTGTTTTAGTACTGATATTATTCACTTCCCTGTTATTGAACTTATAAAAAGTTCTAGCACATGTCCAGACTAAGCTGTTGCCATAATGTCTTTAATAGAACATCCTAAAGCTATAGGCACTTATGAAGAGGTTCCTCTAAATGAGTGAACCTTAAAACATCGGCTAAAATTAGAACTCTCTCTAACTATCTAAACTTTATGAAAAGTTCCATAAAAAATAAACAGACTTAGGTGAATTCCTCACATATTTTGTACACAAAACATAATAAATCATTGTCTTAACAACACAAAGTTTTGGTTTATCAAAACCCTTGAACACCTCATTAGGTAGACTAACTAACAGATCTAGTATTTTTCAAAAGCTCATGTATATGAAAAAATAAATTGCCTTGTCTCTGAATGAAAGACATAGAATGTAAATCTAGAGCTGATAAAGATTGTACTTTGGCAGCTGTAGTCAAGGCAAATAAAGTATAAAAGACAGTCTTCAATGTTAAATCCTCCAATGAATATAAAGAACTTAAAAAAGTTAGCACTAAATTCACCTCCCAAGTGAAAGAGTATCTAACTCTTCAATTGCAGATTCAGGTTTAAGCAACCCTTCACATATAGTAAACAAACAAATTTAGTAACATCTACTTTTTAAAGGATCAAGTCTGTTTCAACATAGACCAAGTAAAATTTACATTGAACATGCTGAATATGAAAAGCTTCTGTTTTACAAAAAATTTCAATAATCAATAACATCCTTTTCAGATGGTGATAAGGAATTGGTTCTCCTTTGAACACACCAAATAATGAAATTTCTCAAAAAATATTGATAATGCTTGATCATAGATGCATGGTCTCCAAGATGAAGTGTAAACATATTTTGCAAATGATTCTGAAATCTTCTATTTATAAGTGATTTCTGAATACAATACACATGTTTTTACCCTACCACACAATCACCACTTCAGGTGTTGTTCACTTATATTTTTACAATACACACAGTTAAATTTAGTCTCTTCCTGAGGGGAAGGCATTCTTATTCATATTTCGCCTTTCGGTCTCAAGTAATGAATTAGCTTAACTTCTCTGTGAGGGGTGAAGTTAACATGTAATAACTCTGTTTAAAGAAACAAACTATAACCACCAGACCATAGATGGCCAGTGACCTTGACCCTAGTATATAAACACCTGTTCCATAATAACTCGTCATTATTTTTCTAGAGGGTGTGAAGTGAACAGCACTTCACTGATATTCTTTTATAGTTAATTTATTGTTATCTATAGATAAGTAAGTTGGAAAGTTAATTTAATTACATTTATCTTGTCTACGATGTACGACAAGTGTTGATGTAACTTAGAAATAAAATTTTCTTGTCTACGATGTACGACAAGTGTTGATGTTAATTAGAAATAAAAAATTTCTTGTCTACGATGTACGACAAGTGTTGATGAAAAGAAAATAAAAAATTATTGTCTACGATGTATGACAAGTTTATTCATTAAAGTTTTTGCCTACGCTGTACGGCAAATTTGTTACTTTATTAATTTACTCCTGTTTGTTTAACAGGTAGATAAATACAGGTGTTTTTCTTTTTAACTGAAGGTCGTGTGTACTCTTCAGAATTAGCACGTGTTTTATTGCACAGGTACACATTATTTAATTACAATGGCTGAGTTTGAAAATGAAGATGTATTGCTTTTGCAAGATGATGAAAATGATATTGAAACTAATGAAGCCGATGGCTATGATTTTCAGCATCTCTATGTTGCTGATGAAATTAAAAATGTTGAATTAAATAGGAAAACTAGAGGTAGTTTGAATAAACCCTCTAAAAAGCCTAGTAGAATTATAAAAGGCACTGCCATTCCAAGTGACAAAGCACCTAAACCAGTCAAAAGGAAGGCTAAGTCTACTAGTGCTACTAGTAAAGCTACTAAATCTCCTAGAGTTGAGGATTTTTCTCCAGAGGAGTTATCAGTGTTGAGGGATAAGATGGGCATATCTACTATGGGCAAGTCTATTGACACTTTGACTCATCTTTTTAGAGGATTTATAAATAAATGTGGGAAAGAGCCTGTAACGACCCCTAGGTGTGAGACAGTTTCTCGGTCTTCCAATCAAGCAGAGGTTGTAGAGAACCCTGCTGCTGTATCCTCTAACTCTCCAATTTTGCCACTAGAGGCTAACTTAGATGCAGTTCATGATTTTGATCTGGACTACTTAGATGATCCTGTATATGTACCTCCTTCTGGAGTTTGTGCTAGGGCTGATGATAGTCCAGCCCCAGTTGATTTTGAAACTTCTTTTGACCCAGCATTAGGGTTTTCAGATGCCTTTAGGGCTCCTCTTAGTGAGATTAATGTACCAGTATCTCAACCTGTTGTTGAACAGGTTGAACAATATGATTTTGATTTTGCCTGGGAAATCCCACAATTAAATACAGAAGAGAAGACTGGGCCTAAAATATCTTCTAGTCTTTCTAAGGCTGTAAATGCTGCAATGTCTGTAAAATCAAATCAGGATAGTATAAAGTTAATAGAGGAGAGATACTTACGGCCTGAAAATTGTGAGAACCTTTGTGTTCCTAGGGTGAATAAGGAGATTTGGACTGCACTGCCTCGACAGGCCCACACTGTGGATTCTAAAATGCAGGAAACCCAGAGATACTTTGTTAAGGGGTTGACCCCCATTGTTCAGTTGGCTAATCATTGTTGCAAGAATGAGCCATTAGATGTTGATAATACTAGAAAGCTATTGTCAGATTCTATTTGTTTGTTAGGTCATGGTTTTCTTTCTCTGACACAGAGGAGACGCTCAGCTCTTAGACCTTATCTTAATGATAAGTTCAAACCAATTTGCAATTCTGATGTTCCTGTGGATTCATCACTTTTTGGTGCTGATTGCATGAAGCAGATGAAGGAACTTGGTGATTACACTAAGATTCCAATAGCTAATCCTAGATTCCTTGGTAGAGGATCCAGGTCTAACAATAATAGCGCTCCAAGCAGCTATAGTAGAGACCAATATCTGTCTTTAAACTCCAGAGGCCCTGTCGGCCGACAGGGCGGACGGCAATTCCCCTCCCTAAGGGGCAGAGGGAGAGGTTTCCCGACAGGAAACAGAGGATCTCAAAGAGGTCACAACTCTCAGAGAGGGTTCTACCAGAACAACCATTTTCGACATTAGTTAAGGTGAGAGAACTTAATTATCCCGAATGGGAAAATATTACAAGTGATCTATGGATATTAGATACAGTAAGAAATGGTTATAAAATTGAATTTGATGTTGTGCCACAAGGTTCATCTTTTATGAATGAGATACATTTCCCTTTACATAAGGTTGAAATAATTTCAGAAGAAGTCCAAAAATTATTAGCTAAGGGAGCTATTAAAGAAGTTGTTTCATTGGACAACCAGTTTATTTCCAATATTTTCTTAGTTCCTAAGAAAGATGGGTCTTCAAGGCCTGTTATCAATTTAAAAAATTTAAACAATTTTGTGGCTTATCATCATTTTAAGCAAGAACATTTATCATTTGTTTTAGATGTAATTCAAAGGGATGATTATCTAACATCCATAGATCTCACAGATGCTTATTTTAGTATTAGTATTAATAATGATTTTAAGAAATATTTGCGTTTCATGTGGAAAGGACATTTATATGAATTTCAGGTTCTTTGTTTTGGATTGGCTTCTGCACCAAGAGTTTTTACTAAGGTTTTAAAACCTGTCTATGCATTTTTTCGAAAAAATGGCATTAGATGTATTTATTACATTGATGATTCTCTTATTATGGATCAGAATTTAGAAAGTTGTATTGTAAATACAGAAAAAATGGTGCAGAAGCTTGATGAACTTGGTTTCAGAATAAATTATAAGAAGTCTGTCCTTATTCCTTCAAAACGCATTGTTTTCTTTGGTCTCATTATTGATACTGAGTTATTTAAGATTTTTTTGACAGATGAGAAAATAGACAAAATTATCTCCCTTGGGAGAATTATTCTTCAACAGAAGTGTGTTACTGTAAGATGCTTTGCATCATTTATTGGTCTTGTTGTACATGCTTTTAATGCAGTATCTGTGGGACCATTACATTACAGAAACATGGAGAGAAATAAAGTTGAAGCACTGAATAGTTGTTATGGTGATTTTGACTCTGAAATTATTATCACACAAGAGTCAAAAATTGAAATTTTTTGGTGGGTTAACAATTTAAATTCTGAATATGGAAAACTGATAAGACCCATACAAATAAATTTTTGGATTGAAACAGATGCCTCATTAGAAGGTTGGGGATCCAAATTTGAACGACAGTTTGCTGGTGGTAGATGGAGCTTGTCAGAACGCTCGTTTCATATTAATTACTTAGAATTGTTGGCTATATTTTTCTCTTTAAGAGCATTTTTTAGTCACAAAAACTCATGCCATATTGGTATACGATCAGACAATACAACTGCAGTAGCTTATATTAATGAAATGGGAGGCATGACCTCATTGTCACTTGACAGGCTTGCTGCAGAGATTTGGACTTGGTGTTCAAAAAGGGATATTTTTATCACAGCTCAGTATATTCCTGGAACAGAAAATTTTGATGCTGATCATATGTCTAGAAATTTTACAGACTCCACAGAGTGGCAATTGAAAGTAGAAATCTTTGATAGAATTTGTAAACATTTCTTTGTTCCAAACATTGATTTGTTTGCTTCACGTTTGAATTTTCAAATCCCTAGATTTGCTTCGTGGTCTTTTGACCCACAAGCTACTTTTGTTGATGCTTTTACTTTTTCATGGTCTGATTTTAGACCATATATTTTCCCACCTTTTTCTTTGTTGGGGAAAAATTTAATGAAAATTATTAGTGACAGAGTTGAGAAGGCTATTTTGATTATTCCTTTTTGGCCTGCACAAAGTTGGTTTTCTTTGCTAATACCAATGTTAATTTCTTTGCCAGTTAGACTGCCTCAACACAAAGATTTAGTTATGATGCCGCATACAGGAGAATGCCATCCATTAAGGAAGAGACTAAATTTAACCGTGTGTATTGTATCCGGAAATCGCTTATTGATAGAGGATTTTCAGAATCATCTGCAGATGTCATCATTGCATCTTGGAGACCTTCTACAATCAAGCAATACCAATATTCTTGGAGAAAATTTGTTATTTGGTGTGTTCAAAGGAAAACCAATTCCTTTCGACCATCTGAAAAGGATGTAATAGATTATTTGAATTTTTTGAAAGACAGTAACTTTTCGTATTCAGTGTTAAATACTACTCGGTCTATGTTGACACAGACTTTATCCTTTTTTGGAGTAGATGTTACTAAATTTGTTTTTGTTGACCGTATGTTGAAAGGTTGTTTTAACCTGAATCCGCCAAGAGCGAGATACTCTTTCACTTGGGATGTGAATTTAGTGCTAACTTTTTTAAGTTCTTTATATCCATTGGAGGATTTAACATTGAAGACTTTGACTTTTAAACTTGTGTCTTTAGTTGCCTTGACTACAGCTGCTAGGGCACAATCTATATCAGCTCTGGATTTACATTTTATGTCTTTTAGTCAAAGACAAGGCACTATAGTTTTTCATATACAGGAACTTTTGAAAACTACTAGACCTGGTTTCAGTCTGCCTAATGTGGTGTTCAAGCGTTTTGATAAACCAGAACTTTGTGTTGTTAAGACAATGATTAATTATGTTTTGCGTACAAAAGATGTCAGGAAGACATCTAGTTTGTTTATTTCTTATGCAACTTTTCGTAAAGTTTCAACTTCTACATTATCTAGATGGTTAAAGACAGTTCTACTTTTAGCAGGCATTGATATCAACATTTTTAAGGCTCACTCATTTAGATGTGCCTCTACTTCAGCTGCATTAGCTTCAGGATGTTCTATTAAAGACATTATGGTAACAGCTAACTGGACATGTGCTAAAACATTTTATAAGTTCTATTACAGGGAATTGAATAATACTGGCACTAAGGACTTTTCTTCTGCCGTAATTACTGGATGATCTTGTGATTGTTTATGCTCAATTAAATGTTGCATTTGTATGATTTTTGGTTTTAGTTTGTGTCTACACTTTAAACAAGCTAATTCATTACTTGAGACCGAAAGGCGAAATATGAATAAGAATGTTCCTTCATCCAAGCATATCTTGGATGTGCAGGATGAAGGTCATTCTTAGAATATGAGCCTGAGGCTCGAAAGTAATTAATTCCCACCCTAGGGATTATCAGTCAGACCCACCCTTTTCCTATGGGTTTTTTGGTCGACACAAACTTACTTTAAATTATGACGAGTTATTATGGAACAGGTGTTTATATACTAGGGTCAAGGTCACTGGCCATCTATGGTCTGGTGGTTATAGTTTGTTTCTTTAAACAGAGTTATTACATGTTAACTTCACCCCTCACAGAGAAGTTAAGCTAATTCATTACTTTCGAGCCTCAGGCTCATATTCTAAGAATGACCTTCATCCTGCACATCCAAGATATGCTTGGATGAAGGAACATTCTTCAGTATGCAACATCGTTACTAATTTTTATGCTTAGCAGTTTAACTGGCAAATAAATTAAAATGGTCTTAGCAAAGAAAACCAACTCTGAGCCGGCCAAAAAGAAATAATAAAAATAGCCTTCTGAACTTCACTAATAATTTTCTTTATAATTATCCCCAACAAGGAAAAAGATGGGAAAATATAAGGTCTTAATTCTGACCATGAAAAGTAAAAACATCTCTGAAAGGAGCTTTTTGGTCAAAAGACAGAGAAACAATTATCTACAGATTTGAAAATGAAAACGTGATAAAAACAAAACAAATATTTCTTCTTTCAATTGCCATTCTGTTGAATCTGTAAAATTTCTAGACATATGATAAGCATCAAAATTTTCTTTCCAGGAATATAATGAGCAGTGATAAAAATGTCCTTTCTTGAACACCAAGCCCAAATAATGAAATATTTGTAGTAAGCCTGTCAACTGACAAAGAGGTTATACCTCCTATTGCATAATAAAAACTACTGAAAATGTAATTTCTGATTGTATAACAATTAACAAGACTCTTTGTGACTAAAAATTACTCTCCAAAAGAAAAATATAGCCAACAATTCTAAGTAATCTATATGAAATGAGCCTACGTTCCGAGAAGCTCCATCTACCAACAGAAAATTTTTCTTCAAATTTGGATCCCAAATCCTTCTGATGAGGCATCTGGTCCAATCCAAAAACTTATTTGGATGGGCCTTATCAATTTTCAATTTCTGATTTTAAATTGTTAAAATTTCACCTATTGATGAAAATAATCACTGTAACAACTATTCAGTGCTTCAACATTATTTCTCACCATGTTTCTGCAATGTAACATTCCCACAGATACCGCATTAAAAGCATGCGCAACAAGACCAATATATGATGCAAAGCATCTAATAATACAGTTACACAATTCTATTTAAGAAGAACTTCCCAAGGGAGATAATTTTACTATTTTCTCATCTGTCAGAAAAAACTTAAATAACTCAGTATCAATAATGAGACAAAGGAAAACAATGTATTTCCAAGGAATGAGGACCGACTTCTTAAAATTTATTCTGAAGCACAGTTTATCAAGCATTTGCACCATTTTTTCTGTATTCACAGTACAACTATCTAGATTCTGATCCATAATAATAGAATCATCAATGTAACTTTATCATGTATATACTTCAAGTGACATTTTTTCATAAAAATGCGTAGACAGGTTTAAAAGCCTTAGTAAAAACTCTTTATGCAGAAGCCAATCCAAAAACAAAGAACATAAATATCATATAATGTCCTTTCCACATGAATCAGGAATTTTTGATATAATCATTATTGATATTAAAATATGAATCTGTGAGATCTATGGATGTTAGCTATATATATATATATATAGATAATCATCCCTATAAATTACATCTAAACAAATGATAAATGGTCCTTTTAAATAGCTCCCTTAGCTATCAATTTTTAGACTTCTGAAATTATTTCATCCTAATGTAAAGTGAAATGTATTTTATTCAAAAATGATGAACCTTGTGGCACAACATTAAAAATAATTTTATAACCATTTCTTATTAAAACGAATATCAATAGATCATTAGTAATATTTTCCAATTCATAATATTTAAGTTATCTACTGTATATAGGAACTGGTTGAGAATTGTGACCTCTTTGAGATTCTCTGTTCCCTGTTGGGAAACCTCTCCCTCTCAATGAAGGGAATTGCCATACGCCCTGGTGACCGACAGAACCTCCGCAGTTAAAAGACTGATATTGCCTTTCCCATAACTGCTGGGAGTAAAATAATTGCTAGACCTGGAACCTCTTCCAAGGAATCTAGGATTTGCTTAAGAATCTTGGTATAATCACCAAGTTTGCTTCATGCAATCATAACTAAAAACGTGATAAATCAACTATCACATCAGAATTACAAATTGGTTTTATCATCTAGATATTTCTGATCATCTCCTATGCGTTTAACCAGAAACCCATGGTCAAACAAATAGAATTTGACAATAAATTCCTAATATATTATCAAGATCTAATGGCTCATTCTTACAACAAATATTAGCCAACTCAACAATAGGGGTGATGGTCAACCCCTTAATAAAGTATCTCTGGGTTTCCTGCATCTTTGAAACCACAGAGTGGGCCTGTCTAGGCAGTGCCATTTAGATCTATTTATTTATCCTAGGCACACTAGGATTCTCGCAGTTCTCAGGAAGATATTATTACTCCTCTATCAACTTGATATTTTCCTGATTTGATATTTACTGACATGGTAGTATTAACAGTCACAGAAAGTCCAGAAGAAAATTCAGACCCAGTTTTCTGCCTTTTTACACAATTTTGGGATTTCCCAAGCAATACATGTATCATGATTAAACTGTTCAACAAACAGGCTGAGATACTAGACCATTAATCTCACTAAGAGAAGCCTTAAAGGCTTCTGAAAACCCTAATGCAGGATCAAAAGAAGTATCAAATTCAGCTCTGGCTGGACTATCATCAGCCATGGCACAAACTCCAATAGGAGGTACATGCACTGTATCATTACAGTAGTTCAGATCAAAATCTAGAACTTAATCTTCATTAAAGTAAGCCTCTAATGGCAAAAATGGAATAAAGCAGCAGGGTTCTCTACAACCTCTGCTTGAGTGGAAGGCAGAGAAACTGTCTCAAACCTCATGGTTCATACAGGCTCTTTACTACATTTAATAATAATGAGTCAATGTATCAATCTACATGCCTATTTTAAATCTCAAGTGTGCTATCTCCTCTTGAGAAATATTCACAAATCTAGGATATTTTGAAGCTATACCAGTAGCACTAGATTTTAAAACTTCCTTTTGACAGGTTTTGTTGCTTTGTCACTTGTCATTCATTTCCAATTGCAATGCCTTTTATGATTTTTTATAAAACTACTAGGTTCTATAACTGTTTAAGAAGAGGATTTATTCAAAATACCTCTAGTTTTCCTATTAAATTTATCATCTTTAATTTCTAAAACAACCCAGAGGTGATGAAAATCAAAGCCATCACCCTCATTAGTGTTAACATCATTCTAAACATCTTGCTAAAGCAATACATCTGCATTATCAAATTCAGCCATTGTAATAAAATAATGTGTACCTGAACAGGTAAAACACGTGCTAATTCTGAAGAGTACTCACGACCTTCAGGTAAAAAGAAATACTTTTAAATATCTACCTGTTTAACAAACAGGAGTTAATGAATTTAGTAACACATGTGCCTTACACCGTAGGCAAAAACTTAATGAATATATAAAATTGTCATACATCGTAGACAATAAAATTTTTTTTAATTCATTTCCATCAACACTTGTCATACATCGCAGACAAGAAATTTTAAATTCATTTCCATCAACACTTGTCATACATCGTAGACAATTGAGAAATTATTATGTCTAATTAACATTAGCACTTGTCGTACATCGTAGACAAGTTAAATGTAATTGAAGTAACTTGCCCCTAAATATTAGATAAAAAATAAAATAACTAAACAGAATTCAAGTGAAGTGTTGTGTTCACTTCACACCCTCTAGAAAAATAATGACAAGTTATTATGGAACAGGTGCTTATATACTAGGGTCCAGGTCACTGGCCATCTATGGTCTGGTGGTTATAGTTTGTTTCTTTAAACAGAGATATTACATGTAAGCTTCACCCCTCATAGAGAAGTTAAGCTAATTAATTACTTGAGACCGAAGGCGAAATATGAATAAGAATTATATTTCATTTGTAATATATCAATTTACCTGTCACTTGGTTGATTGGCCAGTAGATAATTGTCTCATCTGAGATTAACAATATGAGGATTACCGTCAACAAATTACATTCAATTTTGGCAAACATTTCAATATAGACTGTTTTCTATTCTGTGCAACTGGGCAACTTGAATCTTTGATTTATGTTTTGGATCAAATTAAATTTAGTCTATTTCTGTCAGAGAACCTGACACAATAAAGGTTAATGAAATATATATAAAATGATCTATAGTTGCAAATAGTTCAACTGCTTTTAAGATGGTATGGGTGTCTTCTTCCATCTTAAAATAGGACTATACTTTTATTAAGTCAGCAAATTTTGATGCAGGAATGCAACTTAGAAACAATGATTTTCATTTGAAGGAAAGAATATATTTGGCCTTGATTACATTATTTTTTAAAAGTTTTGGTTGATTTCAATTTTCTATAAATTTGCATGTTATAAGGGGAGGTAACTCAGAAAATGTATAATTTAGAAAGCAATCTTCTGGAAAGTTTTCTATTTTATGTTATTGTAAAAAAAATGTATGATGACCACATTTTGTCTTTTTATATTCTGAAAGCATTTTATAAGAGACATATTACTGACATTGGATTAGATATACTAGTAGTAACCATGGACTTTTTAAACTAGTAATTTTATTCCGCCCAGACAAACTAGGACAAAATTCTTTTACTCATAAGATAGCATGATGACCTCATTTTTAGCCTTCTTGATCAAAGGGGCTTAGTGTACTTCTTTCATAACATGTCATTTTGTAATTGGATTTTAAAACCTTATTTCTAGATTGGTCCACTTTGATGTTCTT